CAGGAAAGGGAACAACTCCTTGGTTGACGTTGGAAGGGGAGCAACAATTTAAACTTTAGCAGGTATGTGGGGATTTGGTGGTTTGGGATTTCCCACTAAAGCACAATAAGCAAAAATGTAAAATGCTTCCCAACAACAACCATGACTCCCCGAAGCCAGAGACAACAAACTCCGGCTCGGAAGCTATGCAGGGCACCTAGAGTGAATGAATCGGCGCTGGCCCAACAAGAATAACTGGGACATGGATTTAGTCAGCCAAAAGCACCAACCCTCATCCGTTCGTCCTTTCGCCCAAGGAAGAACTGCAAACTGAAACAAGCCCTGTGTAGATAAGGGATGGTTCTTGTGGATTGCCGAACTGAGCAGCCAAAAAAAATGCTAGTTCCCTCTTGGGGTCCCTCAAAGCACCAACTAAAAATCGACCATCCCAGCTGCCTTGGAAGCATCTTACAGAACTTACAGCGCCAAGTGTGGTTGCTGCTGACCCCTCCGCAACAAGTTTAACTTTCTATGGGTTCAATACGAAAAACCCTATATTTCCCAGAAAGTTAAAGCCTAAACCTCCAACCCAATAGCATAGCATGCCACAACAAAAAGGAGTGCTCCTGAGACGTCCAAGCTGAGGCTGCAGCCAAATGTTCCCAGGCGTTCGAACAGTAACGCCTCAAAACGAACAGAACAAAACAGAACCAAAGAATGCAGAACAACCAAACAGAACCAAACAAATGCAGCTGCACTATGAGAATGACGTCACCAACCTGAGGGGCGGACCCCTGGGACCCCTCTCGTTTTGCTCGTTGTGCCCCCTTTGGCCGCTGCTCCCTCGCGTCGCCATTCTTTCTACGGGCAGACGCGAAAACAAAACCGGTGAAGAAGAAAAAAAAACTGGTAAAAATCAAGATTCCCGAAAGGAGGCCGCAGCCCAATGTTAACCCCAAATGAATGAACCTGCTGGATGATTGGGGGGCCTCCCCAAAACTGATCCAGATCCCTTCTGACTCGGACAACCTCCAATCAAAGCCAAGCCGGGGATGTTCACCAACTGGGCCAGACTATGGTGATTGACGCGCTGACAGCGGCCTTTGGAAACCGTTCCGCAGAACAGCGTGCCCCTCCAAGCCCTGCACCCTGCAGAACAGAGCTCCCGCCTAACGCAAAGGTTCCGCTCGTGGGGCGTCGGAAATGACCTGGAAACATCGAACGCACCAGAGCGCACGTTTTGTTTCATTGCAGATGTTGTTCAACAAATATGTCGCTCATGTTCAAATCGCCTGCAAAGTGAACACCTTTGGTTGTCTGCTGGAGCAAAAGATGCACTGGACATACCTACCTCTTGGACCCGCACGGGTCAGGGCGCTGTCCGCATGCTGGGAGCTTCACCCTATTAAGGTGATGCCCGTGTTTGTCCCGTTGCTAAAGGGGCAAATGCCGTGACCGGGAAAATACATCTCTCATCTTCTGCATCAATTGCAAACAGTGTCAAAGCTGCCCGGTTGCAGCACCCGCCAAAGAGAGATTCCCATGCTCAACACCTATCGCGAATGGCTCTCGGATTGCGAAGGCCTGGGGCAACGTTGTCATTCTGCGCAAGTCGGAGGGCTTTGAACTGATCCCCGCTGATGACTTGTGTACATCCTGAAAAAGTCAAACTAAGAAACCCGGTACACCGCCCTTAGAAACATAAATACGTGGTCAATGTTCAGTCCAAAATAGAACTAACATATTTTCTACCGTCAAGATCTTGCTCAAGGGCAAGTGCCTGAGATGTTAACAAACATTGACCCAGCAGAGACATTTGGGGAGGCTGCCAATTATCTGCAGATTTCAGCTGGGAACCAGCGGCCGTCCTTTTGGATCCGGATTCTGCGGGATGCGACCCGCGTCGCCGAGATCAGCTTGCGGTTCGGGGACAGCAGTTTCAACCTTGAGGATGAAGGTCGCACGATAGTTGCAAGGTTCATCAGAGCATTCCTGGAGCTCGGATTGAGACAGATTCCAAGAAGCCTTTGTGCAGACTTCCATTTGCTTTATCGCCCCCTGGATGAATATGAGAACATGTTTCCAGTAGTGAAATGTCGATTCCCTTCAAAACCAAAGTATTTCCACGAGTCAAATATCGATTCCCTTCAAAAACCAACGCGTGAAAACATCGAAAGTCTACTTCATTTCAGCCCCCGGTACCACCGGTACTGCTCACGCCTTGCCGAGACCACAACAGAAAAGAAGTCCGGCGCCCAGCCAACGAAGGAAGCGGAGAGCCCAACCATATCGATTCCCTTCAACATCCAGAAAAAAAACATCAAAAGCTTCATAAACCAAGATTAAAAACAAAACAAAAATCAATTTCAGCGCCCGGGTACCACCCGTGTAATTGTGCCGAGATCACAACCACCGGGCGCCGGGCGCCACGATGAAGCTACAGAAGCCCTGCCAGCCATGGGGCTCGCAGCCTCGGTCCGCTCTGGGAATCCCCGACACCGGTTGATTTATACTGCGATCCGGGTCATCCCCACCGAGAAAAGCCAGAAAACTGCGCTCGAAATCGGGGCTCACTACACAACCCAAAACTTGCCGGTGCTCAGTAGGGAAATGTAGGGAGTGACCCAGAGCGTTGGGAATGAACCGGAAGGGGATTACCCTTGAAGGAAACCATGGGGGATGGCTTATAGGGGTCATTACTCTCAAATCATTTCCTTAAAGGAAACCATAGTTGATGAGAACCAGCAAGTCAATAGACCACCCAAAAACGAAATGGACGGTACAACTTGTACTTGGTGGACCACTCACTAGATTCCTGGCATATGCATTCCCCGGAAATTCCCCCGGAAACAACCAACTGAAACAACCTATGGAAATGGCGGGATGGGAATCCCAATCACGCGGCATAGCAGGGGGAACACTTGGTGAGTCTTCCGTGCTCCTAGATGAACCTGGGACACTGATGTTGACCGCAGCACATGTCCAGCACAAACCACAGGGCTGCCTTCAGAACGCGCACAAAGCATCGATGGACTCTCCGTCAACTACAGTCCTCGGCGACCTACAACCACGTAGCACAGCTAGGGCAACGAACACACGGAAACGTCTGAAGAGGGCGGCTCAGGTGCATTCCAGAGCAAAGAAGCAAGCTGCACTGGAATGAGGTGGGTTGAGGGATCAAACAACTATTAATTTCATAGCCAACTGAAAATAAAGGTTGTGTTGCAGCAGCGGCAGCAGCAGCTCTAGTGCAGCAGTGGTGGTGGTGGTGGTGGTGGTGGTGGTGGTGTAGTAGTGGTGGTAGTAGTGGTAGTAGTAGTGGTAGTAGTAGTGGTGGTAGTAGTAGTAGTAGTAGCATCAGTAGTAGTAGTGGTGGTGGTGGTGGTGGTGGTGGTGGTAGTTGTAGTTGTAGTTGGAGTAGTAGGAGTAGTGCCAGAAGAAGTGGTGGTGGTGGTAGTAGTAGTAGTAGTAGTGGTGGTGGGGGTGGTGGTGGTGGTGGTAGTTGTAGTTGTAGTTGTAGTTGGAGTAGTAGGAGTAGTGGCAGAAGAAGTGGTGGTGGTGTTAGTAGTAGTAGCAGTTGCAGAGCAGTAGCAGAGCAGTATTAGTAGTCCAAGCAAAAGTAAAAGCCTGTAAGTTTAGTCCGAAACGGATACGCAAACGCGTGCGCACTGGCTGGAAAGTCAGTTACGGCTTTTCACAACCAAGGCTGTACACGAAATACGCTTCTGCCGCCTAGGATTGAAAGTCGCACGCTTAAGTGCCAAAGAAGTCGCACAGCGCGTCTGCTTTTGAGTGCCTCAGTAACACGAAAGCTGCAGTTCAAACACACGCTAAACAACAAGTTACTTTTGCACCTCCATCGCACAGAAAACACTCATTCCCTTGAACAGTTGCTGCCCAAGTTGACTGGCCACAAAAAGTTTAAACTTTTTATTTGCCACTAAAATGGTCTTTCCAAAAGTTTAAAGTCCACCAACTCAGGACGTTCACCCCGCTTGAGCAGGTCATCCCGCCATGGTCATAACTGCCGTAACTGGCGGCCTATGGCTATGGGCTACAACCTACTTCCAGACCCTAGCATTTGTATCACGGGTACATATTTGGGGAAAAAAAAACGTATCTGCATGTCCTCCACAGTTCCTAAACTGGAAGGAAGAAAAAAGCCCGAAGCAACAGCTCCATCCACGGACCTCTCGCAGCCGCAGTCCCGGGGAGCGAGCAGCTCTCGCTCGCCTCGCGCATAGCGCGCAGCGCGTGGATCGCGTCTGTGGGAGCCCTTGGAGTCCCGGCGCAGGGTGAAACCCGGGGAGCGGTCTTCCAGGCCCTTCAGCGTCCACCGGCAGAAGGCCTGGCAGTCAGAAAAAGCGCAAGCGCGCGCGCCGTTTTTTTTCAACAGGAAAGCCACGGAGGAGGTTTGGCTCCGTGCCGGAGGGGGGGTTTCTCGATTCTTCCTATAAAAGCCACCCAAAAAAGGAAAACCGTGGATCGTGCTTTTTGTTTTGTTGTGTTTTTTTTGTTGCTTCTTTTTTTCCGGGCCCGAGGTTTGGACGGAATCTTCAGGAGAGCTCGAAGGGGACGGCTCCAAAAAGTCATGAGCAATAGGGGCGGCTGTGCAGTTCGGAGCCTGACTCACCCTGAGGGACACGGCAAAGTGTTTTGAACATTCAGAGAACGAGTGATTCTATGAACGCACGCGAGCGAAGAGAGCGAAGACCATTGCACACTCACTCCCCCCTCAATCTGCAAAGCCGATGTGGCAGCAACGACGACCAATACTACCCGAGCAATATCTACCTCAGCTTCGTCCCCAACTGAAAGTGACACTCTTCGATTCTGACCCATGTTTAGCGAGTTTGAATATGCGAAATGATGCACCAGGTCTAAAGTATCACTGCCACGTTGCTCCCAAGGGTAAATACCGGCTGTTTTTTGTTTTTCGTTTCTCCACAAAGCCGCTTTTGAACGAGCCACACATATTATCTGCAGGTGACAGAAACCAAAAAAAACCATCCGTTGAGCGCAACAAGGCTAGCGCAAAGACGCAATCTTTGTGGTGAGCTCGAGCTCGTTTAACCTCCTCGCGATATCAAAATGGGCAGAATGATAAGCCAGAAACATGGAAAGAGTCATGGAACACGCCGACCGAAAGACAAAACACAACAAATATGAACATACAAAAACAAAGTCCGCCAAGTGAATACAAGCAATCGACTCCAAGAAAAGGAACCTTTTCACACCCAAATGACTTTGCAACCCACCCCGAAGTCACCCCCCCCGGTTGATTTTCGCCGAGTCCCACTGGCCACTGCCACGCCAAAGGCGCCTCGCGGTCCGTCAGTGAAGCGTTGGTCGTGGTCAGGGAGATGCTCTCGAGGTAGAGGCTGTACACAAACCTACGGAGACGAACTCGTCCCATGTCCCCCCAAAGGGAAAAAATGGAGAAAATACATCCAGTGAAATTGAGGCCCTTTTACTTGGTTGCTGTTGACCCCCTGCAAAAAGTTTAACTTTTTTGGGGTTTAGTGGAAACCCCTTGATTTCCCAAAAAGTTAAAGTCTAAAGATCCAACCCAATAGCAGTCAAGTTAAAAACGGGATAAAATATATGTTAAACAAATATTCAGTTCAGCAAATGGAAGTAATGTCTTCGGATACATCTGGAGGACCATGCTCAGGGTGCTGTCCCTCGTGGGAGCTGTTTCCAGTCTTTGTCGGGGGTTCCGAGCATACTCCTCCGGCTTCATCCAAGGTTGACGTTGGCAGGAGTGCCGTTCTTTTCCGAAGGATGGGGGGGATGGAAGGGTAACGCATCACCGAGAAAAGTAACACACAAATATTACTCCCATCTACGGGTGGTACTTCCCTGAAACCTACCAGAATGAGTCCCACATTCGATCCCGAAATATGTTCCTACCGAACTATTTTACATATCAGATCAAACATGAAATCCCCAAAGCGATCTAATCCCAACAAAAGAGATTCTACACTGTTTCCGGGGTCAATGCTCATGTTCGTGGAAAAAAAAAAAAAACGTGTCCAGCAGATTCCTAGCTCCAGAACTTTGTGGGAAACCCGAGGTCCTTCCGAGCCCCGAAGCAAGAAGCACGGCTCTTCTAGCTGGGGCGCCCTGCGTGGTGCCGGTGGGGTCCAAGCATATGGGCATCACCGCTCCGCGTGAAGCTAAGCCATGGCACCCCGCAGCAAGATGGAGGGGTGAGGAGAGTTGCTAGATTGACCTTTGCAGTCCAGTGTCTGATGAACTTGGAACCAAGTCCTTTGGACAACTGAAAAAAACAAAAAAACTGTCTGTCAGGCGGTTGGGAAATAGTCAGAAAGTTAAAGGCTAATTGGTAAAACTCATTCTCCCGCCATCGTCTTGGTACAAGGGAAGCATGTCTCAATTTTTACCCATCGATCACCCAGCTTCACGTTCCCCGGGCATCTTAAACCAAAACCGTTGAACGACCCAAGACGCATGAAACGAGCTTGCTGCAGAGCTCCGGTGGCTCGTCGGTCCTTGAGGCTCGGTGCCCCCAATTTGTGTGGCTTTGTTGAAGGGATTTTGACGGTTTTTGGGGGTTATCAAAGTCAGAAAGTGGAATCGGTTGTTTCCCTTCCCACCACTCTGGGGGTGACTTTGATGAAATCATGAAGCTGGGGGGCAGCTCGCCCCTGCTCGGGGCTTTGCCCGTGCAGACACCCCCCCCCCCTCGTTTCCGTTCGGCGCGAAAATCGAGTTCTCAGTCCCGGAGCTTCCACGAATCGGGGGCAAAATCCCGGGTCGCCCTCTAATGGAGCAGTTTGTGAGCCTGGTTGGTTGACTCCTGGTCCATTCCTTTCAGCCAAAGAAATCCCCTTCCAAAAGCCAGAACCGTTTCAGCCCCCTGGAACCGCTTGGCGGTTTCATAGAAAGAAGTAGCCGCGGAGAGAGTGGGGAAGCTGGGCCTAGAGAAATGAGTGGGTGAGTCCCCAAATCACCGTGCGCTGATATGTGGCTGTGGGTCAAACCCAATGGGATCCCATTTTGGTTGGTAGGTGCACCGCCCATTTTAGTGGCGGTACTGGCTTTTGACCCATGGCCATATTTTGGAACCTCACGTGGGCTTGGGAACTGGGGTCAAGCAAAAAAAGAAGAAGAATAAAAACAACTGCAACCACTTGTTGCTAGTCAGCGGGATGCGGATGCGGGCGCGTCTTGTTTGAGGCTACCCTTTTTTGGGGTGTTTTAAAGAGAAACCAAAACGAAACTGGTGACCCCCCTTCAAACAACAAGCCGCCTATGTGCCCTCATTGTCCAAAAGCTTAAACGGTCACGAAGCAAAGAGCAAACAAAGCGGGCGAAAGAGAGAAAGAGCCGCCGAGGGCGACTTCCGGGCCAACGAATGGTGCTCATGGGCCACTTCCTCCGGGCGTTCCTGTTGGTGTCCTTATCTTTCCAACCCCTGTGGGCCGACTATTTTTTTTTGAGCCTACCAAGATTGAACAGAACCCAAAAACCAAAAACCTAAAAACCAGCCAGCAACAGCGAAGCTTGAAAACCATCCAAAAAGGGGTCCCTTAGTTAGAGAGACCCAATTCTTCGAGCCCTTTATTGGGCTCCACTCCGGATCACATGGAGGGCTTACCATTTGATGCGGCGGGGAACAAAGCTAAACTGGGTTTCATTCGTTTGTACCGCTTGAACATGATCAATCAGTCATTTTACCAGCACCGTCTGGATGGTCCAGCAAAATCCTGTGCTCCCCCAAAAAAATGGAGCGTCTACAACTCTTCGCTTTGTTCCTCGAACAGGGTGTCAAAAGTATCCACGCCTTGGAAAGCATGGGGAACCTCCAGGGGTTGGTGCGCGGTTCAAACAGCGTGAGAGGTACAAACCAAACAGCTCGGGGCCCGAAGAACACCCGAAAACGGGCACCTCGTTCATGAACAAGTGCCTGGTAGATGAGTGGTGAACTTCGGATTTCTCTTCGGACCGAAAACGAAGCTGCAGCTCCTCTTGAAAGGAAATGATCCATTGGAGAAAATTCAGCTGATCCTGGATCAAAAAACCGGTTACCAGGTCCAAGGCCCACACCGAAGAGTTGCTCCCACAACATCGAACCGTCGAGTGTCAAGTGTCAACAAAAATCAGCCTCCACTTGTTAAAAAACAAACAAACACTGAAACAACCAAACATGGACGAAAACAACTTACCCTCAGACTAACATGGAAGCTCCCAGGACACCTTTGGAAGACTTTCCATTTACAAAGGCCTTCTGGGGGGGAGATATTTTTCATGTTAGCTGGAAATGTGGCCACAGCAAATTCGCTCAGGTGGTATCCCCACCCGCCACGGAACTTCCCTTTCGACCCTTTTGACCCCTTCTTTCAGCTGCCCCAAACCACCCCAGAGCTCTGGGCCTATCGCTTGCAGCTTCCCTTAAAAGGGCGTCTCCGCCTCGCCGCGGTCTGCTTGGTGAGCTCAGGGCTCAAGCCCATCATCCTCGTCGCCCCTTGGGGAAAAACACATGTGGTGGTTGCCAGGATGCCGCGTACAAAAAGAATCGGCAACAACCCTGGCTGGTCTGTTTGCCACTTTTTTCCAAACAGAATACAAGAGGGAGCCAACAGCTAGCGCATCCAAAGTGTCCAAGTCGTGTTTCCTTCAAATCCATTGCAACCTTGTCGCTGGGTGGTTCGTTCCTATTGTGATTTTTTAACAAACGCTGTTGAAAGGTTCAAGGGGACCAAAGGTGCTGCTCATGCCGGCCATGAATGGCCCGGTCGCATGAGCTAAGTTGGCATACCTCCCATGCATTTACCCGGAAGCCCAAGGTAAGTCCGGATGCGATGTTTCGGGACATGGAACCTGAAAGAGGGCTGTGGCAAAATGACAACCAAGCCAGGGAGCCCCTGTCAATGTGGAAAAAGCGGGCCTTTGGCATTTCCCTGACTCAATCCCCGAGTCCTCTTCAGCTCGGCCGCAGGAAGCTTCTTCAGCACTTTCAGAAGCTCCTCCGGACGAAATCAGCTGGCGGTCTGTCGGAGGGCTCCCTTACCATGAGCTTTGAAGCACATGGCTTCCGTTTTGGGAACCATCCGGTTGGGCAAAGCTCGTTTGGAAACTAGGTGAGTCCGTAGCGTTCAAGAGCAGTATTCGATAACCCGAGGCAAAGCAGCCATCCTACTGGTTGGTTGTTCAATTGAAGACCTTCTCTTACTATCCCCAAGGGGGGGGGGAGGCGTTCTTGAATTGCATTTGTCTAGTCTTTCCCACACAAGGACAAATGAAACTGCTGCTGGAGATGTCCAAAGGTGAAAGGGCAAGCTCGGTCAAAAGGGCCTTTGCCCTGAATCGATTCCACGAATGTCGAAGTCAGGGCATAAAAGGTAGCTTCACAAGGGTTCCAAGGGAACTGCGGGCATCAAATAGGGGAATGAATCTCCTGTTCATTTCTATTTGGGAAACTTTACCATTATATTCTAGCTATCATATAGAAATCGTTTCTACTTGGACGGATGTTCAACGCACTTGATTAGATAAGCCCCGACCCCAAACTAAATGGGGGCGGTCCACAGGAAAAAACTAAAAACAACATGGGGGACAGCCTGGGGCCTGCCTGAGTAGTCTTCCAGAAAGTACTGTTTAGTATTGGCTCTGGTTTATTATTCCTTAGCACTGGCCCAGTGCAAAACAATTTTCTCTATGTCCTGCCCTTAAACAAACCACACGTATTATTGCCTTCCTGGGTGTTTACCACCCCCTTGAAGATTTGGCTGGGTGGCTGTTTGAGTAAAGAATGTCATAAAGCATCTCTTGGTTGGTCAGGTTGGTGGTGGTTAGTGGTGCATGGTAAGGTTGGTGGTGGTGGGTGTGGTGGGTCTGGCGGGTATGCTAGAACTGAGATGCGATGCAACAAGCTCAAACTTGCCAGCCCTGAAACTGGCTCTCTTCTCTACTTGGAAAACATTCCGGATGGTTGGTCCTTGTTTGTGTACTTCCTACCCTTATTGCTTTTGATGGAATAACGTTGGGACTTGCTTTTCATGTATTAAGTCCCTTTTTATTAATCGCTACCCAACATTATATCATGGAGCCTAGTTACCCAGTCGAAAGTGGGGTGAACATCCACAAAAGGAAGCCTTTGCCGTCCTCCCACTTTATCTATCCCTTTGGGGACTCCCCAAATTTCATAGAACATGTCCTTCAACCCAAATTCCGAGAATGTGTCCCCCCAAAGCAACACCAAGGGCAACCCAAGTTTTTGTTCAAGCCCACCTCAGGCAAAAAAAAAGGAGATGTGAAAACCCCCCCCCAAAAAAAAAAACAAAAACAAAAGGAAAAGGGGGCAGGGCCCCCCCCAAAAAAAGCCTCTCCCTTAGGTTCCCCCCCCACACTCCCCGCCCCAACTCCCCCCCCGTCCGTCCTCCGTGTGCTTGGCAAGCTGCGGCTGCGACTTGGAACTCTTGGCCGGAGCCATATCCATAGTCTTGGCCTCAGTGCTCCCCCTCCTTGACGTCGAGCCAAAGAAAACTAGGTCCTCCAGTAGAGAGGTTAGATCAGGGTACCAACTTTTTTCTATTGTCTATTTTAGTAGGGGTGTTCCCTCCCCCCAAAAAAGGGGTGAGAGGTCGGGCACCTAGCTGGGGGACCTAGAAAAAGAAGCATCTCATTTTTCGGTCAACCACAAAGTCTCCAGAATTCGAGAGCCCCAAGGTCAAGCTTGGCTTTGGCTATAAATGAGTGTGATTTGTTTGCCTCATGGGAATCGCGGATGAAACCCGAACTGACTTTCGACCGCGAAAGTTGCCCTGATTCTTCTAGCCATCCCCATATCTGCTGAAACTCGCCTCAAGGGAAGCTCGGGGTGTGCAAAAAGTGGGGGGCTTCAAACCACTTTTGGAGGGGAACCCATATTAAGAAACGTTTTTTTCTCGAAAAATGCGGGGTCAACTTTCTTTGGAATGGGTTTCCCCCGAAATTCTCAAAGGCGTTTTGGGAGTTGGAACTAATTATTAATCTTGGAGCCCCGAGGTAGCACGAAAAACAAACGCCAACATGGTCTAGCCTTACACGAACCAAGGGTTCAAAGCCCCAAACCAATCCGAACCACCAAGCTTCAAGGGAGCCTGAAGGCAACACAAAGAACAAAACAGGGATCCTTACATCACCTGAACATTGCAACTTGTAAATGGTGGTTTCCATTTCTCTATTTTCGTGTTGAAAAAGCAACATGTTTCAAATTGGCAAAATGTATCTTTTAAGAAGCCCTGCAAAAGGACACGAACCCGTGTTCATGTGAAACATTCTTAGAGCTTCGGCTCCTTGCAGAATTTCCATGGGAGCGCCCGTTTGGCATCATCCCTTGACAAAGCTTCCCTTTTTGGCGGCACCGGTGGACCCCAGTTCATCCTGCATGTTCACACCCCCAGCCAAAAGTCTGTGCTATGCGTGCTTGTCTCATTGAGGGGTCCCCCCAAATGGCCGCTTGTCCTGAAAGAAAGAACAAGTGGCTGGAGTCCGTTTCTCTACATGGGCAAAACAGCATGTTCGTTCCCTTTGGCTTTCTTAAGATGGCCCGAGAAGGCCCCATACTTTCGCCACGGTCAAGATTACGCGCTTCCCCAAAAAAAAGGAGAACTTGGCGAGTCCCGGAAAAACTCGCGAGCTCCAAGACCGAAGCAACTGGATGTGGGTTGATACCATGGCGCACACCTCAGGCAAGCCTTAAATCATTTGAGTCATAATAAACACCCAGTATAAAAATGGTCGTAGTCCCAGAACCCTGCTTCAAGACTTAAGAAGGCGGCCGCAGCTAGTTGTGGTTGGGAGTATCCCCTACTAACCTTCATCTACCCGGGTTTTTATTGGCTCATTCGGATTGGTTTTGGAATTTGAACCCCCAAATCTGGTGGAGCCCAAGTGGGAAACCAGCCCCGCTTCACCACCAACCAGTCCAAACCACAAGTGGGAAGCTGAATACGCAAATCCTAACAAAACCAGCAAATTTGGCTTTCGGAAAGGAATCTCGTAGCACCCCCTTCGGCTCCTTCTGCGAGTTTCCCAGATCAGATGGTATCAAAAAATGCAGACCTGAATAGGGAAACGGCGAAACGGCGGTTGGCTGAGGGAATCCTACTCAGGCAGCCAGAAGGAAAGCCCCTTTGTGCAGGGCGCCAAACCACATTCTGACGCATGGGAACCCGGAGTCATCAAGTTCTGGATCTCCTGGTTACTCAATAGGAAGCTGCATTGTGGTCCGAACCCTTCACTTTTGGGGCTCCCACTGAAGTCTGGGGTTCCCACTGAAATCTTTTGAATCTTTTCAGGAGCCCCAAAAAGATATGGCCAACAAGGCAGCCCTTCTGGGTTCCCTTCCCCGGGTTCGGCCACCGGAATCGCCGGGATGGAGCCTCAGCTCCCGAGCAGGCGACAGGAGCGCCAGCATGGCGCGCTTGCGCGGCCGAGCCCAAGCACCGATCTGGACTTGAGTCAGAAGTCAGAAGTCAGAAGTCAGATCTGAAGTCAGGTGTCCCCAACACAAAATGACCCCAGCCAGCCAGGCTTGCTCTGGGGCTGTGCTTGGGCTGGAAAGTCTCTCCAGCTTGAGCCCTTGACTGATGGCCAAAATTCTTCCACAAGTCCCCTGATTTATTGTCCAAGAGGAGACTCATCTAAAATGGGCCAAAGCCGTGGTTAAGAGGTTGGAAGTTTGGCAGCCACTCCCAGCAAGGTCCGAATCTGTTCGGCTGGGCCCATGTGCTTCTGACTCGAGCTTTGAGACAAAAAATCAGCGGCAACGCCACAGGAGGGAGCTCTTGAGAAAGACGGATTCAATCCAAGGATTGGCGTCCACGCGCAAGCCGCCCTACGCCCCAGGATCCAAATAAAAACCATCCGCTGCCGGGTCTCACGTTTGAAGCTCGGAAGCCAACCGAGCAAAGCCACGAGCCACGGGAAAGTTGCGAGTGTCAAGTTGATGTTTCCCACAACAGTATTGCTTGCTTCCCAAGACGGCATGGTCGCTTTCCCGGTTTTCATGGGCACTTCGAGTGTTCCACCCGATTCTAACCTACCTCCACGCTGCCAGCTCTTAGTTTGCTTTTGTACGGCGCTGTTAATTGAAGGCTCGTGGGGCACTGTTCACCTGGGGATTTATGTCAACCATGTTCAAGGGGCGTCCAACTTTTGGAAAACCGTAGCAACATGTTCCACACAATGCTTCATCATCTTGTGGTGCGGTTTTTAAGCTGAAGGTGTGTCCTTACGCTGCAGTCGCAAAAGGCGATTCCCCTCTATTGGTCTTCTTGGCGTGGAATCTGCTGCATTGGTCTGGCTTTTTCCTCTGGAACCGAGACCATGTTAGGGCAGAAACCGGCAAGCCGAGGAGCAGCTCACTTTGGCGCCTTGGGGGCAGTTCCTTTTGACCCAAAAAGACGGCGCCGGCCGGGAGCCGCGAGGTACGACAGTGCCTCGAGAAGCTCTTGCTTCAAAGGGAACATCTGGGGGGGACTATTCACTTTTTGGCAATCCTATGTTTGCTCTGATGCTCTCTTGCTTGGTTCTGGTCAATCCCCACCAACTTTCTGTGGAAGCTTGTCTGGCGACAGCTGCAACCAACGGCAATTTTCTGATTGGTCGGGCTTTGGAAGACTCCCTGTAGCCTCCAGATACCGGCACTCCCCTGCAGATTTACACGGCTACCATTCAATTGCCTCACTTTTGGAGAGAGCTCCTTTTTGGGCACCCCCCTTTGGGTTCCATGTTGTTTTGCAGGGAAGCAAGGTTACACACAAGGTTTCATTCATTGACGATCTCTGCCTTGCCCAGCAAGCCTTTGGCTCCCCTTGGCACAGAGCAAATTCCGATACCACCAAGGCACATCGCAGAGCCGCGCTCCAAAATACCTACCTTGCCAGTTCACGGCAGCACGGGGCACGCAAGCCACAGTCAGACCCCCGACAAAAGGGAGTCGGTGGTTGGGACCGGCCCCTGAATGTCAACTAGGTCGGCTCAGGTGCCAGACCCGACCATCTTGGCTGGTGAAATGCAAACAACAGCTTGCTGGAAGTTGTGAACCCCTCCAAATCGCCCAATGCTCGCTGGAGGGGTACCCTTCCATGAGAGCTTCTCAAGATTTGACGCGTACCATGGGGTTGTCCCACTTTTTGAGGATAGCCGTTTGGGGGTCATTTTAAAGGAAGCAAAACGGAAGCCAACCCTGGTGGGGGGTTGCACCACTTAGATACCCTCTTTCCAACAATCATGGTTTTTCAACAGAAGGGTTTTGATGGCTCTTAAAAAGGCATCCCGTCCACTTCCATCTTTGTTGAACAAAAGTGGGTGTGGCTCAAAATTACAGAGCTGGTTATACAGGTTCTAGTCTTACATGCTTTTTGCGCCACAGCCATGTTCTCAGCCCATCGACGCCCCCGACCCACGCCGCCGGAAAAACGGCCGGCTCGAGCCGTCAGACCAGCGATGGCCACGCACGCTGGTAGAACACAAGTGGTATGTATAAATTTCACGTCTTCTACTTGTATACATATGCTTAAATATATGGTACCCTGAGGGAAGAGACGGTCTGTTGTTTGTTTTGGATTGTTGTTGTGGGTCTAGTGGTTCTGTGGGAATGTTGGGCATCATGTGCAACATGTTGCGCAACAGTTGGCCGATATTGCAATGGACACAAACAACAAGCAACAAAAAAATCAAGCCATGGTGGGGGTGGAATTGTTTTGTTTGGTTGTTTTGCATTTTTTGGAGCCAGTGGTTCTGTGAATGTTGGGCATCATGTGCAACATCTTGGCTCTACAGGGGTCTGCCCCGCCCTACAAGCCGGTGCAAAGGCAGCATGCGAGGCTTTTTTGGGGGGAAGCCAAACTCTTGATGCATGCATGAAAAAACCTGTGTGAAACAGACACGGAAGACCCAATTCAGCTTTTAGTTTTCACCACTGCTTGATTCAGGAGAGAGGGACTTTTGATTGGCTACAACGATCACATCATTTGCCTGCGCTCGTGCAAGCTAGCAACTTTGCTGTTCAATATCTAGGGAAGCAAGCCTGGAAGTGTTGAGCAGATTGTTTGCGCTGTCTCAGAGACTCTTGCGGAATTCAGAGCATTCCTGGGTGACAGCGCTTTGGTAAATGACATCCTGGGGGCTTCATCTTCCTGTGAGAATCTTTAAGGCAGCTTCACTGTGAGCAGTGAACTTGTTTGCATTGACCGGCCAGTCCAGGTGTATGACGTTACATCTATACATGTATATATATATGCATACATACATATATATATATATATATATATGCTACCCTCGTGTGAGAATCTTCAAGGCATCTGTGGTCGGAAGGCGCCAAGACTTGAGGCTGAGTTGGGAAGGCACCAGACTGATGGCTTGAGAGTGCAACCCCCTGCATGATGTGGAACACGGCAACCCCCCCCGGCGCGAACCAGGCTGAGAGCTTCGGACATGTTGCACAAAACGTGCTGCGCGTTCCAAAACTGCCCGTTTTTGGGTGGCCTGAAAAAGATTCCCAAGAAACTGTTCTGCGCCCATTTGACTGCATTGGTTTGCCAACAAGCAGAACCCATGTTGATTGGAACACGTTCCGGTGATTGGCTTGGCTCCGTTCGTGCTTACCTAGTTAAAAAATACACATAACTATTTTCGATCGTTTGAAGTTGATTACAACTTGCAACTCCAATAGTTGCTGTCTCCATGAATTTTGTTTGGAATGTATATGTACAGGGAAATGCAACCGCTTAAAGTTGAATTTGGCAGGCGGGTAGCATGTGTGTATATACACATATAGAAATATATATATATATATGTGTAATTTTTCGTCATACACCTGGACTGCCCGGTCAATCCCAAACAAAAATCGGCTTCCGAGCGCGATTTTGCTCCAGCGCATTGTTGGTGCAAGCCTCATAGCCGCGCATTGCCTGAAACATCGCAGGGAGGACGAGTGGCATGTTGTTCTTCTTTCTTTTTCTTCGGGCACCCATTTTAAAGCCTGTGTGAAAGGGAAGCATTTTTGAGGTGTCCCTCATGAGAATCCGCCTGCACATGGATGTGGCCCCTTTTTTCCGTGGAACATGTGCGAGGGGACTTGGGCAAAGGGAACCCCGAATTGGTTCCCTGATTTGGACCCTCCACTTCTACTCAGCTCCTACAAAAACCATTGGACATACACGCAGGTGGAATAAATATGACTATGGCGATATACATAGCCCCCGTTTTGTGGTCACAGGGGTATCGGATCTCAAGACTTTGCCGGGGTCTCTGAAGATTTCGACCCCGGTGATAAGAACGACGAGCTGTTCAGGCGCTTGAGGTATCTTGCCTGGGCATTTGTTTGAACCTCGGCACGCGGTTCACCCACCAACCTCAGGCTTACGCTCGTGAAGAAAAAGGGTGTTCTCAGATCGCCAAATCGATCTACCTCGAAACCTTGAAACAAGACTCTCCCTTAAAGGAAACATTGGGGAATCCCCAAAACAACCCTAAACCGGGACATATACAGGTGGGAAGCCGCGCACAGTTATTCGGCCGCTCTCACAGAAACTTGTGGGGGAAGTGAAGTGACATGATTTTGTCTCGAAATAGGGGGAGCCCCAAAAATAAATGGTGTCCTAAAATGGCCCTTCGTTCATTGCATGTTGTTCCTTGTTGCTGTATGCAACATCAAACAACTGCAACCACCCCTCCCCCCCCCCAAACGATTTGAGACTTTCGCTTCTCCTCCCTCTTCCCCTGGAGTGGCGGGGTGCTGTTTGTTCCTTGCCAAGACCTAAGGATGCAAATCCCAATCCACCTGAAGTCCTGGAAAATATACTAATACTTCTGGTATTAACAGGGCGGAAATAGGAAAATGATCATTTCAGCAAATGGCAATCATGGACCTTTGCAAGCACATCCACTTGAAGCCGATCTTTTTCCCTGGAGTGTTTTGCTTTTGGATGGGGCCCGAGCTCGCTTTCGGGTGAGCTCAACTGATTGCTGTCGACCTCTGCACGCCGTATCTCATGCGTTGCTTCTGCAGAATTTTCTCCATCCCAACTGTGGATGTTGCTTCCACTCCCCCCCCCCACCCCCCACCCCCCACCCACCCCACCCACCCCCCCACCCACCCTTTTCCAACCTGGACCCAACCTACCGCCGTCTCCTCGCTTGCCCACCGCACCCGCGAGAAAACGCGACAAAACGCGCCTGAGATCACGTCGATGAAGGCCACGCAACATGCGCCCACCTTCGACGCAACCGCCGGAGGGCTCGGTAAACGGAGAGTCACCCCCCCCCCTCGCCCTCACCCCCAAATATGTATATATATATAAAATAAGTGGCGGTATGAAATCGGTCGGGAATGAGAAATGGGATGAACCGGTTTGCAGTTGGAGGGTTTATAAGGGGACGGCAACCAGCACACCGGAAAAAAAGGGTGAAACAACTCCTGGGTCAAAACTACCGGTCTATCAGTCCAGGGGCAGGAATTGTTTTACTCTTCACGACTCCCCTGCTGTGGATGGACAATGACCTTCGCCATTTGAGATGAATGAAACCCTGTACTGACATTCAAAAAAGGCACCTGCCAACCTGCCACGAAGCGGATCTTATCCACAGTATTCATGATGTCCTTCAGTAGGCACCCCTGGTAAGGCAAGTACTCCCCGACACTTTGACACAAAACCCAGAAAAAATAAATAAAACAAATAAACCACCACAAAAAGCGCACACAAAACCGCCACCATTTCCAGGGATCTCCAGGGCGCCTTTCTTTGGGCTCGTGAACTCGTCCGTCCATTTTGCCCCTCGCGAGGCCCCGGCCATGGCGTTGATGGAGGCCACCCGCGGCCCGGAGCGGATGGACAGCACCTGAGCGGATGGACCGAGCCTCAACCCCAAGGTGCGCCCAACCGTTTCTCCATTTTGACCTCTGAGCTGGAAATCTCTGATGAATTTGTGAATCCGGACACTAGGGTATAGCAAAGGCCCCAGAGAGTCACCCAAGTACCTGACACGCAAAAGCCCTGTTTGGTTGGGAGACCCGGGCCATGAGGCAAGTTGCAGAATACCCAGCTCGGACTTCTATGGAATAAAAACGGTTGAGCAGCCTCGTTTTGGGAGTTTTGGGGGTTTGAGCACCTGTTTGGGGTTGAGCTCAGAGATTTCCAGCTCGGAGGTCAAAACGGGCGCACCCGTTTAGGGCTTGGGGTTTAGGATTTTGGGTTTTGGGTTTGGGCACCGGTTGTTTGGTTGGGTTTGGGTTTAACGGGGAACCCAAAACCCGGTTTAGGGCGTGTTTAGGCTTCAGGGTGGATGGGTTTGAGAGTCTTAGGGTTTACCCTCCCACCAATTAACATGAAACCTGACAGGGGGGTCCTGGAAGACCAGTTTCCTTTTAAAGGGACCCCCTGTCAGGTTCCACATCAGTTGGTGGGTAGAATCTAGGGTGGATGGGTGTATGGGTGGGTGGATGGATGGGTGGATGGGTGGATGGGATGGGTGGGATGGGTGGCTGGGTGGATGGGATGGGTGGGATGGGTGGCTGGGTGGATGGGTGGATGGGTGGCTGGGTGGATGGGTGGATGGGTGGATGGGTGAATGGGTGGATGGGTAGGAAGGATGGAAGGATGCCTTGAAGGGAGCCGGAGGTCTGGGAAGTGCTTGGGCCAAAAATCTGGCCGCGCTGCCTGGTTTTTGTGGCTGAAGTTTGGGGCACTGGGTCCGCAAAGAGCGACCCCTGATATTTAATTTGTGTGGCTGAAATCTTGGGGCACCACACCTGGCTTGCTGGGGCTAAACCCTGAGGGTCCGCAAAGAGCGTCTCCTGAGTTGTGTGGCTGAAATTTGGGTGAGCCAGTGAAGAGTGGAATGGAGATGAGATGAAAATGATAACATCTTGGTTTTTTTGCAGCGCAAGACAAACAAATGAAATCCGGCAAACCATTAGACCTCTATCCGTAATCTCAATATTGTTACTGGTCCTCAAATGCTTTTCTCATCACTATCTGCTCATTGTGTTAGCATGTTTTGGGTGTTTTTGAGCGGCATAGCATGCTGAGTGGAGACAAGGTGATGAGGATGGAGAGGCAAAGGGATGGGGATGGAAAGATAAAGGGATGAGGAAGAGAAAGAGAGAAAGAGACAGAGAGAGAGAGAGAGAGAGAGAGAGAGAGAGAGCGAGAGAGAGAGAGAGAGAGAGTGAGAGCGAGAGAGAGAGAGAAAGAGAGAGGGACAGAAGAGGGAGAGAGAGAGAGAGAGAGAGCGAGAGAGAGAGAGAAGAAGAAGAAGAAGCCATCTGTTTCCCACTCACCGTTCGCTCTCTTCTTCATCACTCCTCCAAATCCATCTTATGAACAGAGATATCATGATAGGTTTTATTGATGGGTTCCGCTCCACTCTCTTGCCTGTGGTTACTGAAAACCAGAGACATATGCCCAACGGCCCAGTGACAAAGGAACCTCTTGGGGGTCATTCTTAGAGAGACTTCAGGGTGCCACTGCAGAACTAGGCCAGTAACTCGTCTTAACGAGGTTGCTCCCATTCGATTCAAAGCGATCGGCGCAAGTAGATGGACAACCCGGGCAAAGGGAAAACGACAGCCCCTCCAAATTTCCAGGAAGATCCAACCAAATCACGGGGTTCCCCAAAGCAAGCCCTTCCTCAATTCTTCACCCAAGCGTGATTTGGTCGTCTCCTTCTTTCAGGCCAAGTCGGCCGCGACGTTCAGACTTAGGCCGACGCGCCGGCCGTCAGGAATCCACAAAACGCGGCGTCTATGGAGGACCGGCTGCCTGGCGTGAGTCGGCTGGGCAGATTCAACCACCGCCTATCGGTCGCTTTTAACCTCACACAAGGCCCCCAGGAAACAAAACCATGAGGCTAACAAAACCATCCAGAGCTGGCGTTAGGAGGATTCATTCGAATCAAAAGCGATCCTGTGGGGTCCAAAACTCAACCATAAATTCACCCTTGGAGCATACACCACGCAAGCCCTTTGGCCCGCTCGGCTTAAAGGCCTTGAAGCTCTTCCAAAGAAGCGCGAAGCGCCAGCGACCACCTTGAGCAAACACCACGCTCATCCAGCAGCATCCCCAAACAAACACCAATTTCCACTGCCAACGTACCTCGAGCACATCAGAAGAATCAAACCAGCACCCTGACTGCATCGCCAAACAAGCAACACAGCCTGCCCCTCTTTAGAAGTAAGAACCTCCCATCTGGGAACAAGCACTCAATGAGTCAAGTGATTACATAACTCGGGTGTGTATCCAAATGTTTCCCACGGGCTCCCCCACTATTCAAAGACCGCAAACACGTGTTCGTTGAGGGAACCCGCATGAGGGTGGGTGGTCGCTCAATTTGCCCAAATCCAATCATGTTGCACCGAAAAGGTACAAAATCCAAGCACGACACCTCTCTAGGGGTAGAGGATAAAATGACACACTTTGTTGGTTTGAAGGAAAATCCGAACACAGCACGGTCCCTCATGTAGAGACATGCGCATATCTTCGTTTCATCCACCCCACCCTGGTGGCACCTTGTGGATCTGCATGTCGCTGAGACACCTGAGCCGACGAGATTCCACCCGTTCCCGACACGCGGAAAAAGGTGTGGTCGCACCAAATGTTTAGTGGGAAGATGCTTGGGGCCCCTCCATTCCCCAAACTAACCATAGCAGGGATCCGGATGCATTATACACCGATCGAACCTTGCAACTTGTACATGGTGGCTTCCCTTTATTTTGGTGTGGAAAAAGCCACATGTTTCAAACGGCTGCAAAGTGAATTTCTTTTAAGGAGCCCTGCACAGTCTGCCAAGATTGTGTCCTTTGGCTTTCACCTCGAGTCTTCCCACCGGAGGCGCGAGAAAACTGTGCCCTTCTTGATCAAATCTTGTAGCATTCTTCACGGATCCCAATGCCTCAGAAGATCTTCCGAAAGGTCCAAATCTTCACCGACTGGGCTGTTAAGCTGTATGGCTGTTTGTGTGTTTAGGGTTTTGGGCTTGGCTTTCTGCTGTTCTTGGGCCGATCGTCTACTCTTGGACTTGCTGGCGCCCAGGTGTCTCGCCTTCCCCGAATTCCTGGATTCCCCCCCCCAAACCAAAGACCACGTGCAGTTGATTACGACGAAGCACGAGGATTCGCCGGTCCACTTGGGAAGCTGACTTGGCGAAGCTGGAAGCACCCCATCCGGGGTCCCCAGCGGCACAGTCGAAGGAATGGAAGAGCCCAGACCTTCCGGGCGAACTCGCTGATTCGTGGGAGATGCTGCAAAGAAATCTGCAAACCCTAGTGTCACAGCACACCAGAAACCACGAACTATCAGGCAGGACCAAAGGACTGGTGATTGAAAAACAGCCAGATAAGATAACTTGTAGGACGTATGTGTATATATAGATATATATACGCATATATATATACGTACGTAACACCCACAGACCTGGAGTTGAAGGAGTCCCCAAGTCCCTTAGCTCAAAGTGCCATACGGAATTGCTCCAGGCCACGTCGGGAGGTCGAAGGAAACGTCGCACGAAACCCGGGCGAATGGGGAAAAAGGTTCCCAGCCATGGACTGCGGTCCACTGGTCGCAAGTTCGCCCCCAGATTCCTCAAGCGGAGAAGGGCCGGTGGGGCGAGCTTGCGAGTCGGGTCAAAAGAAGGCCGCGAGAAGAACGGCCAGGCGGGCTACAGAAGGTCGACGGCCATGGATGTTTCCACAAATTGTGTGTGTGTGTGTGTGTGTGATTTTGAGGGTACTCTTCTTGGTGGTGTTAAAAGTAACCAAAAGGACAAAGCCCATTTCGGCTGGAAACAGTGTGGGCATTGTTTAGGATGCGAATGGCGCCGCGCGGTGTCGCCACATTCGGTTGTCATTTGACTCCTGCCACCCAGGCGGACGGAAGAAGAAGAAGAAGAACTAAAAGGACAACCAAGATTTTCAGGGGTCTCTATTTTGACACACTCCCCGATCCCCGAAACACACGCACACAACCCCCCCCTAAAAAAGAAGAAGAATCAACACGAAACCTCCCTCCAAACACCCAAAATGTTGGACCCGGATTAAGGGCCCCCGACCCATTTAGCAGGGTCCCCTTTGACGCACGAGCGGTTTCTGGGTTCGCCCCAAGGCTCTGGCCACATCGCGAAGGTGCTCCCCAACAAGGGGGCGCGGGTCTGGGCCTAGGATAGTGCACAGCTTTCGAGCATGTCATCCTGGCAAATTCGCTTTTGGGTGACGAATTCCGCCATCCCCCAAGTTGCTAGTGAAACCAGCCACATGGGTCTGGTGATTTGTGTTGTTGTTTTTTGGATGAATCCCCCTATTCGTTCAGCTTCGATCTGAAATCGGATGCCCTCCCCCCAAGTCACCAGTGAAACCAGCCACATGGGGTTTGGTTGCTTTTTGTGGTTGCTTTTCGGATGGAGCCCCCTAAAATCCCTTCGGTTTCCCTGTAAGGCAACCCCAAAAAAGGGGATGACTACCCTCAAGAAAACATATGGGGCGGACTAATTTTGAGAAACACTCGCTTGCTTGCACCCACGGTGAATCCTTTAGATTGCTACTTGGCATCATACCACAACTCAGCTTGCCTCCAATTGGTGGCTTGGAGCCCGTCGGTTTGGTGGTTAAGGGCTTCCAACTTTCCCACCACAAGAACCAGGGCCCTGCACCCTTAAAACAACACTCAGCGGCTTGCTAGCATGATGAGCACCGGCGGCGAAGTTCCAAGTGCGATGGGAGAATGATGTTTGACAGCTGGAAACATCACAAACCCATAGGGGTCCACCCAAAACTCATGAACTGGCGCAAAGCGCCGGGAAAACCACCTCTTGGCGAAAAAGTGAGCCGCTCACATGATGCCAAAAACCGCAGCTCCGCAACGGCCATCCTTACAGAGCTTCTGCTCGCAGGCTCCAGGAACACCCCCGGAATCTCTAAACGAGTCAGAATCAAAACCCGGCATTGGTCTGCCCAAGCCGCACGTGTAGAACGAGCCAGGCGAAACTCTCCGAACCCATCTACGGGCTTCCCCCGGCTCGGCGTCCCGGCAGCCGCGAAGGCGCCGGAGAGGCGGTGGCCCTCACGGAGAAACGGACCGGACAGATGGCGGGCTGCACGGCTGGGGCGTCCTCTATGGCCAAAACAGGAAAAAAACCGAGCCTTGCTCATATTTTCTGGCTGAAGATGGGTGAATTTCAATGAGTTGACCCGTTTGTTTGTTTTTTTCAGCTGAACATGGGCGAAGCCAATGAGTTGACCACCCGTTTGTTTGGTCTCGCTTGGTTTTTTTTTCCTAATAGTAGACATATGAAAGGAATTGTCATCAGCTTTTGCTTGCAAACCCGCGGGTGAAGTTGCGGTCCAGGTCCCTTGACCTGCTCAAAACCGGACTGGGATTCCAACCCGACTTTCCACAGTTGGAACAACACCACGAACTTCCCGCCCGGGAGAGTCTTCGAGTTAGCTCTGCCAAGCACGTGGTCACAGCCTAAGGTGATGACGGAACCTAATTGCAACGAAAATGATCCACCGAGCCCGAAAAGCCCCAAGGCCCCAAGCACGCCGATCTTTCGATGCGGTCGATGCGGTGGGCAAGCTTGTGTGTTTTACCGTAGCTTTTGAACTGGTTTGGCCGTTGACCCCGAAGGCAACTCGGTTGCGAAATCTGCTCCCCTGCTAAAAGTGGCTAACTTTTAGTGGTTTAATTTATGGAAAACCCATCAATTAGCCAAAAGTTAAAGTCCTAACATCCAAGCAAAATGCACCACCAAAGGCAATGCATTTGAATGGACCTTTGAGAGCAATCGACTCCCAACGGCCTTGGGAAAGTTCCGGAGGCTGCGGGCGAAGGTCATGCCTCGGGGGGACATGCGAGGGAAATGACTTGAGGAGCTGAGCCGACGAGACGCTCAACCTGGGCATTTCAAGAGGAAATGAGTCACTTGCTCAAAGCCCGGTAGTTAAAATGGTCTCAAAACCCAGAACCATGCTTCAAGAATTCAGAAGGCGGCCCCTGAAGCCGTTGCCCTTCTCAAAAAACTCCTTGGTGAGGGTGTCCGCGATCTTCTGATGGGGCACCCACCATGCTTCGTGTCTCCAGGTCCTTCAGAACGATGGCCAGAGCTGATCGTCTGTCCTCCTTGCTGTGGGGGTGCTCCTTGAGGCAGTCGTAGCCTCGGTGACCCGCGCATTGAGGTTACCCCTTTGGCCGGACCTCGCCGCGCAAAAATGGACCATGTGCGGAGACAGAGAGTTGCGCCGCTTCAACTCCACGTCGTGCTGCACCGCACGGGTGACCTGGAGCCAGTCGGCTGGTCCCAGACCTTGGAGCCTGAGTCTCGCCACCGAACGTGCTGAACACCTGGCGTTTCAGCTTTGAGGACCTCCATTGGCAATAAGGTGGGTTATGGGTGTGCGTAGTGCTGCTTTGGGGTGGGCGCCTGGCTTGATGTAGGTTTTGGATTTGGGCTAGGTTCAGGGAATCTTGGGGCCAGCTACCCAGAATGTTTATCAGAACCCTTCTAAGACAGCTCCAAGAACCCCTTCTGAGAGAGGGGGGCGTTCTGAAACATGGTTGACGTTGGAAGGGGAGCAAAAATTAAAATTTTAGCAATTAAGTGAGGATTTCCCACAAACTGCAACAAGCAAAAATGTAAAATGTGTCCCAACGACAACCATGGAAAGGGGGGGGAAGGCAATTTTGCAGGCCACAACCCAAAAACCCAATACCCGAGGGAAATTTCAGTTTGGTTAAAATACGAGTACCGCTTCTTTTTTCTGCCGTCTATTTTAGTGGGGAACCGAATCTCCCAACCAAAAACTTCTGCGAACCCTTTCCGGTGAAGAATCGATCCTCTTCCCGTCTCCGGGCTTCCCGGCAGAAGCCGCCGCAGCAGCCCACCCCGAAGGCGAAACCCACCATGTCCACGATGCGCTGGCGATGCTGCGATTGTGAGGGCGGCTATCCGGGTGTGTCAAAGGGGGTACCCCCAACATGGATTTCGGCCTTCCTGTTGGTCTCCCTCATACACACGGTGTAGCAAAAGGGGCTACGCACATTGCAGTGCCATCTTATGATTCTGCGACGGGTTTCAAGTCAAGTGCCGCACCACGCCGTTCCAAGTATTCAGGTCCTGGTATATACTCATTTATGTGTATATATATATATACACAAACATATTGGGTCTAAACAATATGAATGGGAGACATGTGTATATGTACACGTATATAGATACGCCATTCCCCCCATGGACTCAGGTGTTGGTGCCTCTTTGTGACGATAAATTCCGTATCTGTCCTAAAAGAACAAACGAGCTTACGTCCTTTTTCAACTCCACAAAACCGAAGCTCCTATTTAAATAGATCGAAGGTCAGAGTTGTTCACTAGACATGTATATAGGTAAGTACACTTTGGCGGCTCCAGCTCCAAAATCAAAAAACAAAATTCCACTCGCAAAGCAATCCCTCTCAACATCATGTGGTGCTTCTCTGATGTCTCGAACTCAAGCCAAGTTCAACTTGCAGTTCCTTGTGCATTCCGGGTAAACAACAATTGGAGAAAACGACTATTGGCATTGCCAGTTAAAACTGGAAATAATTTCAATTTCAACTGAGTTATGAACCTTACTTATCTAGTTGCATGTGATTCTAACCAAGCAGGAACTGAGCCAAGCCAATACCAGACATGTGTGTGTGACAAATGGATTTGTTTCTTGGCACAAAACGATGTAAAATCGCCATGTGTTCAGTGGCTCAATCGTGCTCCCCTGCACGTGACCGGTTGTTCTCAACATATGGAAACCACTTTCCGTAGTAGAGGCCCCAAAACAGCCCCAGGAACCTGAGAGAAAGAGGCCTCAATTCTTAAACAGATTTCTATGAGCCCATTTAAAATGCAGAACTCAGGTTGTTTACTACAAGATAATATATTTACTCTGATAAGCAAACATCCTCAATTTGATGCTCGGGAAATGCACTCTATGTCTGATGTGATTGGAAACCTGGAGTATTGGGACAACAATAGAATTCTTCATTTGGCTTAATTCTTGTTTAAACGTCAGGACTCAAGATTCAAGATTCCAAAGGACATCTCAGATTAGTAAATCTTGAACCATGAATCCTGCCAAGCTTTTGTTTTGATATTCCATGCAAAGCTTGAATTGTGGGTCCACAGTTTCTTATAGTTGAATTTGTATAAAACGCGTGTCCCAAATTCGTGGGCACATCGTGACACCATTGCTTATGTCACATATACATTACATATATATATATATATGTATATATATCTATACATATATAGCTATTCATGACCATGGCACCCCGCAATTCTGCCACAAAATCCTTAATGCAACTGTGTCCACAAGGGGGATGTTTGTATACATGTATGTATATATATATACACATACACGCGGGTATATATATATATATATATGCATGTTTGCAAATATAAATATATAAGTATTCATATCATATATATATATATATATATATACGCGTGTGTGTGTGTGTAAGGGCATGACTTGAAGGTAGGCACTGTCACCCTGATGTCTGGGCAGGGGAGGGGGTGCTCGTCGGGAAGAATTCCCTCAGCGCGCGCGGGGGTCCTCCTCTCCCCGAAGCACGCCAACCCAGCGTGGGGGGGGGGTTGTGTAATTGTTTGTTTGTTTGTTTGTGTTGCTTGTTTGTGTTTGTTGGTTGGTTTGGTTTCTTTATTGGTTGGTGAGTTGGTTGCTATGGTTGCGTTTTTGTCCGGTCTGGTTGGTTGCTTGGTTGTGTGCTTCTGTTCGCTTGCATGGCTTCTGCCCGCGCGGGCCAATGTTGCGCCCGTGGAACTGGGGTCTATCCCCAAGGACCCGGGCGAATGTATCCGAAGTCTTCAGAAACCCAACGGAATGGTTCGCTTCCCCCGCAAACACCGCAAACCTTAGGTTCAATACCAACAAAGAGGGGTTCACTTGTTGACCCCAAGATAGGCTTAAACCCAGTTCCGAATTTGGGGGTGATGAACTACCCCTGGGTTTAAGTCTACCCTGGAGTACTCAAAAAGTAGAACAAGGGTGTAGGTAGCATACTGTGGATAGACAACATCCTACACCCCCCAAGAAACACTGGAATGATTCGATGCCCCTGTAACCAACAAACATCAGGAAGCTTCATCCATGATTTCATCCAGATGATTCATGGACACCTACTCTGGACGGTTGCGAAATCAATTTCGCACCGTCCAGAAACCCGACGGAATGATTCTCGTTTCCCCCCGCAAACACTCGCAAACATTATATGGTCTCATCCATGGTTTTTCATTTTCGTGGCGGGTTTCACTTGTTGGCTACCCCAAGGCGGAAACTCGGGGCTTCGATGAACCACCCCTGAATAAAAACTCCTACCCTGGAGTAACAAGTAGAGCCCTGCCAACATGCACCAAAGAAACCTTGAGGTGTATGGTCTCATCCATGGTTTCACTTCCTAGGAAACACTGGAATGATTCGATTCCCCTGACTGGGGTGGTTCATCACCCCCAAAACGGGAACTCCTGGGTTGAAGTCTACCCTGGAGTAGTCAATAGTCAAAAAGTAGAACCAGAGTGTAGGTGGCATACCCTACTGTGGATAGACAAAATCCTGCACCATGGTTGTCACTTCGTGGCGCGAAATCGGGTAACATCCAACTGTCACGGCTCCGTCTTCGGCGCCTCGGGGCACGGCAGCCTCCGGGGCTCCGACATCGCCGGACACTCGGCCGGGCGGCTTCTGCCGCTGGGGGCAGCGCTGTTTGTTTTTTTTTGCGAGTGACGCGAGGGAAGAAGAATGGAAAAGCACAGTCAAAAAAAAAAGAGAGAAGAACCCCCCGAAAAAATGGAGAAAGAGATGATGTTCCAAAAGTTGAAGAGCGTGTGATGTTCAAAAAGAGACAGATGTGAAGCCCTGGAGGAGAAATTGGCCGCGGACAAACAGACTGTCGAGATAGCAAGTGGCGCTGATGAATGAAGCGCTTAAAAACAAATACGTTGAGCCATTGAATGCCATTGGTCTCATTGCTTCCAAAAGGGAGGGTTCTTCATTTCTTTAAAACACACAATCCCCCTGCCAAGGAGCTGGTTCTTGAGTATTCGCAAGGTGATGATCGAAGCGTCCAAAGGAAGAGATGAGGACCCCTGAAAGAGGATGGATGCCAAGGGTGTTGTATGCCGCTTGCATGCTCAACTCCTGTGTTTTATCTGAGCCGCGCGGGCGCGGCGATGATTTCGTCAATTCACACGGCAATGGGTTGGAAGTTCCAGGCCCGTGTGAGTCACAGTCAAGATTTGGTGTCGACCGTCGTTCATCTGGGTATATAAGCGTTACTTGGGGCCCTTCAAAGGGCATGGCTTGATTTTGGTCAATAAGTCCCTGTAGAAAGATCATGGCTCATTCTGTTTATTTGGGGTCTTCTCAAACTGGTGCCCAAAATACATGTGTGTCCTGTTGGTTTCCCTTCAACCAGCCAAAAGGGATCCATGTTGAGAAATCCCATGGTTGGACTGTCAGGTCGCCAGTGCAAAATGAAGTACTTAGATGTCCAATCCACTGGGGAAGTTGCTCATTACCATTAGCTATACATATTTTTGCTAGGTGGGTTGAACATCCAAGTCATGCCATGCCAGCGAGCTGTGGTGACAAGTTGGGCTTCATCGGACCTGTTCAAAGGGCCCGCAGGCATACGCCCAAACTTTTGGAGGCTGTCAATCGAAGGGGCCAAACCAAAAAAAAAACGTTGCACTCGGCCCCCCCCCCCCCCCCATCCACAAAATCCACAAAAACACGAGGTGACTAGCACCTGCATCTTTTTTGCCCCTCACGAAGCTCCAGTAGCACGACGCTCAGATGTCGCACACTGCCATCAAGGTGTCCACGTCAGCCTCTCAATTGTGGCTTCGCAAGAATCTTTGCCTGCAGCCCGTTGCCACAAATTAACTGGGTTTCCCGTTGGACACAACCTCTGATCTAAAGGACAATTTTGCTTGGCCTCTTTGCTGCTTGAGATTCAACCTATGTTTGCAGCTGACATTGCAACTTTCACACACACACACACACATCTGCGAATGAAGCAGCGGCAAGCACTGAGACATTGTTTATCGCCTTCAGACGGAGACACACATCAAAACCGGCAACCAGCCGGCCTTCACTTGGATCTCTGGCGCATCTTGCGGCGCTTCTTTTGCAGGCGGCGGGTGCGCTTCTTCTTCCACTTCCAGCGGAACTTGGAGCGCGCCTGGAGCACAAAACCGGGACTGCGGGCTATGGGCGGAAACTTTTGTGGGTGTGGGAAGCCCTTTCCCCAGCTACCATCTCCGGGGAAGGGCCAATTTCGGAGCCTCGGTGGGTGTGAAAGCGGTACCGGCACAACCCCCCCCTCCCAAGCCCAAGCCCAAGCCCCAATCAGCCCTGATGGCGCGCTGCCATGTTTCTATGGGAGGTGGGCAGGTCTTGGAACCCTACCTTCTTGAAATAGCCCCCGTAGAGGAACTTTAGGGGTTCCTAGGGAGAAGATCTTCGTTGTATTTTGCGCCATCCGCCACTCCACGCCTTTTTGTAGGGGTTGGACTTGTGCGCCATCGCTCTTGAGCCGAGCTCTGCACGCGGACGCCTGTCTCATTGCTTCGGCCACGTCACCAAAGCACGCGGGAGAGTAGAAACAAGCACTTGCAAGCAAACAAGCGAAACAAACCAAACAGAACGCCAAACATGGGCAAGTCGGACTCCACACCTCCCAACCCCCCCCCCCCCTCCAACCCTGGCCGAAAAAGAATCAGCGCATTATACAAACCAAACTGCCCCATTTTGAGTTCAAACCCTGAAATTTGAGGGATTTGGACCCTCGTTGGCAGGGTGGCGAACTTGTTGGCGTTTGATCCATTGGAGCACTTGAGGGGCCTGAAGACGGGGGTGCCACTTGCTGGTGATGCTGGGGATGTTAGAGCGAATCAAAAACGCAAAGATGCGAAAAACGAATCCCAAAATACATCGCAATCGAAAATTCCTTCAGCTGTCTTATTGTTAACACACGTTTTTCGAGAGAGGCCGCCGCTTTTCTTTGTCCGCACCCTGTCACGGCTGTTTCGAACAGCTCCGGGGCTCAATGCACGTGGAGTCGAGTCCTGACGAACCCGCGGCTCGCATAAGCGGATCTGCCCAGTGAGTCCATGAACCCGTCAAAACCCAAAGGGTGTGTCTGTCTAAAGGGAAACCAAGGGACAACCACCACTATTTCTTGTATGCTTTGGGAGAAACGGCGAAGGGCTCCCCGACAAAAGCAGTGAAACTGGGAAGTCCGCAAAAACCACTCCCAAATCCCAAACCTCAAAATCAGGATGCCAACCCAAAACCGCAACCCATACCCAGGAAACTGTCCTTGGGAAATGTATGTTTCTTTGTTTTGTCGCAAGCCAGATAGAATTGTTGCGAGCCGCGGATGAGTCTCATCTTTATCAATCGTCATGGAATGCCAAATACAATAGCATTGGCACACGAAGTCAAGTTGCGGGAAACCAGGCAGAAGTGGTTTTCACATCATCGCAAGGTTTTCGCTCGTGTGACGGAGCGAAAGCGCTGGGATTCGCACAAACCCCACCAAGTGACCAAGTGTTCCTGTGGACAAAGTCGGCAAAAGCGCCAGTTGGTCTACCATATGGCCATGGGTCAAAAGCCAAATCGTAACCCCAGTGAACATCCCAATCCAACCACTAAATAGGTTCTAAAATGGGTGGTGCACCTAAGCCCGTACCCCCAGTGAACATTCAATCCAACCACTAAAATAGGTTCCAAAACGGGTGGTGAATTCACCAATCCAACCAAAGTGGGATCCCAAAACGGTTTTGGCAACGGCCCTCAGAACTCCCGGTGGCTCCTTAGCTCCCTCTTCATACCAGCTCCGTAACGGCTCCCTTCCAGGTTAACCTCATGTAATGACCCCATATTGATCAAGTAATAGGGGTGCACCCCTTGTTTTTGTGAGGAATCAGACCACTTTTGGAGGGGAACACCCCCGAATGAATACACTGGTGTCTACACTACCCAGTAATAAGACATACGAAACCGGTGCCTACATGAATAAACTGGGTGTATAGAGTCTACCCCCTATTGGGTGTCATACTCCGTCAGACTAGCATGGAAGCTCCCAGAAGGCCTTTGTAAATGGAACCAAGTCTTCCAAAATTGAACCAAGCCTTCCAAAAAATTGCTGGAAGATTCCATGGAATCGCCTTTTTTGGGGAGGGTATACCATCAATAACATGGATCCTTACATTATACACCTGAACATTGAAACTTGTAAATGGTGGCTTCCCTGTATTTTGGTGTTGAAAAAGCAACATGTTTCAAATGGTTGCAAAATGAATTTCTTTTAAGGAGCCCTGAATAACCTGGGGTTCGTTCATCTGGTGTCAACATCACGCCAAATGGGTCCCTGCGCCTTCCGCCTTCGGCTTGGAGCGCTTTCGCGAAGCGAGCGAAGCGTGCCTTCACTTGGAGCGCTGGCGCATCTTTCGGCGCTTCTTTTGCCTAAGCAAAACGAAGCATCTGGGTGGCTCGGCTTTTTTTTGGAGTTGCTGGGTGGCTCAGCTTTTTTTTTGAGTTGGTGCTGGGTGGCTCACCTTGTTTTTGGAGTGGGGGTGCTCGGCTGCTTGTGGAGTTGCTGGGTGGCTCGCCTTTTTTTGGAGTTGGTGCCGCCAGACGGAAATCCACTATTCTTGATTACACCAGCATATACCCCAGATAGCACCCCAAAACAGCACCTGCACCAGCACCCCAAACTGCATGCCCCGTGGCACCCTGCTGTCAATCTCGCAAAATGCCCGCGCCGTCGCCCCAAAAAGCACTGCCACCAATCCCATAAAAATGCGCCCGCACCGTCACCAGCGCCTCAAACAACCAAAACTGCACGCGCTCACCCTGCCATCAATCTTGCAAAAAATGCGGCCGCGCCGTCGCAAGCACCACCAGCAGCTCCCCAAACAGCACACCCGAACAGCATCTGCGCCAGCACCCCAACTGCACGCCCTCTAGCGCCCAGCCGTCAATCTCGCAAATCACTTTCCCCGCTCTGATAGAAGGTAGAACCCCTATAGCTTTCAGCTATCTGAGGAAAAATTGCACACGCAGGTGGGTGTGTGGCTTTTCTAGGGCGTGCACTTTTCTGGGTTTACAAGGGAACCCAAAGGAAAACCTGCTTTTCGATTTTTCCGGGACATCTCCCCACGCATGACACATGTGTCAAAAGCGGTAAGTGCGGAGTGGAATGACCTTGAGGCTACTGTGTCGGATCTACTGTTACCGGCAGGTTTGTCAAAGGGGTGAGCCTTTTTTGAGGGGAGCCCTGTTTTCTGGTCTTAATGGGAAACCGAAAGAAAGACCTCCATTCTCGGGTCCGAAGTCATGGCTGATGTACCTGCGGTGTGGAATGATCCAATCAAAGCTCCACTTCAGTGGCGGGAAACCCGACATGGAGAAACAGGGATGCCCACCCCAGCAAAAAGGGGCATGAAAACCAGCTTCTCGGCTGGTTAAAAAAGAAGTTGAGCATCGGACACAGAAAGCTAACCTCCAAAGCGAATCACTGCGATCTGGAGAAGCACCGAAACGCGGTGTTCTCCGGCAAGTTGCAATCGGCGCGTGCGCTTCTTCTTCCACTTCCAGCGGAACTTGGAGCGAGCCTGGAGCACAAAAGCCAGAATGCGGATGGGCGGAAACAAGGACCAATGTCGACATATCAAACCAGCTTTTGTGGGTGTGGGAACCCCTTTCCAGGAACGACCC